CTGGCTTGTTAACTGGATCTTTTCCCCTTTCGCTGGACAAGTATTTACTATATGCCAGTACTAGGCAAACAACATTGTCAAGATTCTTATCCTTATAGAGCTAGTGAACATAAGCAGACACCACCACTACAATGAGTGGTTACACCAGCAGAAGCACACAAGAGGACCTTGTATGTGGCTAAATCAGGGGAGGCTTCCTAGATAAAGTACTGGGCAGGCTGAACGCGAAGGTCAAGGAGAGAAAAGGAAAGGCAACAGGAGGAATCAAAACCTACAGCACACTGTGAATTATTCTGGACTCACCTGTGGGCAATGGGGACCCATTAAGACATTTTAAAGCAGGAGGATGCCAGATGGGAGATTTTGGCTGTGATGTGGATTAAGGGACGGGGAAGACACATTACTGCGGGAAACCAACACTGATGCAGGAGTATTTGAAGGGAGATGCTGCTGCTTACACTAAGACATGTAGCAGTGGAAAGAAGCAGTGAAGTCAGTCAACAGTGGCCAGACTGGCAAGATAGAAGAGCCTGTCACAGACCTGGTGAAAGCCTGGATACAGGGCAAGTGGGGGTTAAGAAAGCCAATTGTGCCGCGCTCTCTAAATGCAAGCTTTCCTAGGAATATCAGTCTTACTTTTACCCATATGCCCACCATTTTACTGGCAACGAGGCTTCTGCTTCTAAACAGAAACCAGTCTTCCCATTCCCCTCCCCCCAAACCTGACAAATTTCATGAATTCCATGAGTTTTCCACAAACTGAGAAACAGTCATTTGCTGGTGGTAATGTATTTCAAATTAGGAGCTAACTCCCTTTGAAATACTACATGTTCAACACAGACCCAACATGTTGCTAAAAGAAAGCTGGAATGAGACTACAGAAATTGAAAATAACATCTGTAAGGCACAAAAATTTCTTTAAGTTCTTTTTGAGCCAAAATCTGTGGCTTCTTTTAATGGAAAAAAATATATATAATGTATTATTTTCTTTCTCTATGATTGGTAAACAATTTCAGATTTGAAACTGTCCAAAGCAATATAAACCAAAGCACAGCTCTGCTCATTAGTAAGGCCCACACTAGAGTGTTTCCATGTGGTCACTGAGTTTTAAACATAACGGGAGGTTTGGGAAACACAGGAAGAGTCTGGACTGCTTGCTCAGACCACTTTGGAAGAATACGCAGAACATTCAGGAATGATGACTACACTGTACAGAACCAATTACACTTTAATCATTTATTCCACAAAAAGGTAAAATATTAAGTATCTTCTTTCATGGGGCCTGATGTTATATCAGGAAAAAAGATAACTGTCTTGAATTTTTGACAGGGGAAAGGGACTCCTGGATTTTTGTTTTTAATTCTGCCACTAAATGTAGGGAGGGACCTTAGTATTTTTGTTGTTCAAGCAAATCTGCTATCAGCGGGCAGAACTTAGTTTTATAAGGTTCTGGAAAGTAAACTTGTCGATTCTTGCTTCATATAATGTCACAGGAAATTACAATCCTTTATGGACGTCATCACCACAAACAGTGCTAACAAAATGGCTTAAGAGGAATAAAAAATATTGTTGGTGGCTTTTTTCTCAACAAATGTTTCTTGAAAGTCACAAGCCTACATTTTGAAATTCGCCTATTTGGGTCACTATGAACAACTCTTGAGCAAACTCCGGTCTTTGCATAAATTGGCCACATAACGAATTAGGACATAACTCCCTCTTTTCTAATAGCAATAGTCTGGATATGGTGGCTCAACCGAGCAATCTGCCTTTCTGATTAATTTCCAATCCATGTCTCTAAATTCTCACAGCATGAAGGGACTAAAATATTAGACCTCAGAAGAGACCATAGTAAATTTAGTGGGAAGAACACAAAAGATAAAATAGGAATTAAAATTCTAACAAAAGAACATTTTTCACTCTGCACATCTGTCATTCTGATATATAAAATCAAGGGTGTTTGATATTTTAAGTAATTTTTTAACTGAACTGCAAAACATACCTAAAGTATGCAAATCATAGTATAGAGCAAGATAAAATGTTTACAAGTAAATACACCAACGTGCCCACCCCACACATCCGTGGACTAGTACTGTCCCCCACTCAGCCCGTCAGTCTGACTCTTGTCATTATAGATGTTTTCTGATGGTTTTGAACTTTGTAAATTATTTATAAATGCAATCATATAGAATGCTTCATTTTATTTTAACCAAGCATAATTTGATTTCTAACAAAGAAGGTCTTTAGTGCATTTTTTAAGAGGATGGGGATGTGAAGGGCTTGTAAGGGACCTTCTTGCTGTTTCCTTTCTTGAATGACTCTCGGGTGGGCATGCCAAAGAAATCTATAATGACAAAAGCCTAAGCGACCATCGCAACTGAACGGTGACCAAATAGGCTGAGTGGGGCGACCAGGCTGGTGGGGTAGGGGTGGGGGTGTGAGGGTGACCAGGCTGGCAGGAGGGGCAGTTGGTGGCGACCAAGCTGGCCGGGGCGGGGGGGGGGGGGGGGGGGGAGTAGGAGGGGGGTGGCAGTAAGAGGTGTCCAGTCTGGTGGGAAGGGGGGAGCGCGGGGGGGGGGGGGGCAGTTAGGGCCAACTAGGCCGGTTGGGGTGGGGGGAGACGGACAGCTGGGGCAACTAGGCCAGCAGGGGGGCAGTTAGGAACCAGTGGTACTGGATTGTGGGAGGGATGTCTGACTGTTGGTTTAGGCCCCATCCTGGCAGCTGAATATCTCTGAAGGGTCCTGGATTGAAGTGGGTGCAACCTGGGCTGAGGGGGACCCCACCCCCATGCACAAATTTTGTGCACCGGGTCTCTAGTACAAAATTATAAATGGTGATACACATCCAAATCATGCAAGCCCAACACCCCAGCCTACCTTCTGCAGAATCTCTCATATTGGCAGAGGTGTGATCTGGCTCACTTGTCTTCAGCTGTATGTCTTCAGTTTTGTTTCCTTTGTTTTTATTTTCCTGGGGTTTTTTCTTCCCTGAAACAAATAAGCCATTTGTTTGTTTGTTTGTTTGTTCATTTGTTCATTCATTCACTATTACCCCGAATTCTTGAAGGAAACCATCACTAATCCAATCAGAGCAAACTGTCTATTTCTAGGCAATTATCACTTCAATCCCTAAAGAAAGGAATAGATGATGAATATAAATATTTTTAAATTATGTCAGAGAAAAAAAAGAAACCCATACATCTTGTATTTTTCAGAATCTTGGGCACTAGTTCTCTCATAGCTCTAAAGCAACTATCAAACTAACAGATAATAGATTCTAGAAAGGTTAACAATACTGATGTCACAGGAAAATTAGATGATAGCTCTTAGTTTTAATACCATACACATAACAGGGACTGGCAGAAATCTGGTTATTTATAAGCACATAGGGAAAACAATATGGGATAACTTGGGGCCCTTTTAGTTAAGACATGAACACCTGTAATTGTCACAGTAAAACAACAGAAGCTGAGATTGCACTCAATTGTAAGGAATATTCATGCACAATGGCTCAAATATCAAAGCAGAGTAATTATGAATAATTCACTGTGGCCAGCCTGCACGGCACTCTGAGGGACCTGAGGGACTCAACTCAAGAACCAGAACCATTCAATATTTCATTAACAATTTGGAAGCTGGGATTCAGGAAACATTAACTGAATTCTAAGTGATACACAGTTCAGAAGATAAGATGAAAATGCAGCACATTTCTGACAAGCTGGAACAGTGAACTCAAGTCACCAAGAGTCTCAGTAAAGATAAACAATTCTAGCCTGGCCAAAACCGGTTTGGCTCAGTGGTAGAGCATTGGTCTGCGGACTGAAAGGTCCAGGGTTCGATTCTGGTTAGGGGCATGTACATTGGTTGCGGGCAGATCCCCAGGAGGGGGTGTGCAAGAGGCAGCTGGTCGGTGTTTCTCTCTCATCGACGTTTCTAGCTCTCTCCCTTCCTCTTTGTAAAAAATCAATTAAAATATATTTAAAAAAACAAAAACAAACAAACAAAAAACAATTCTAGCCTGGTTACTACTATTGGGAGCTCAGCATTTGGTCTCGTTAGGATTTAACCAGAATTTGCAACCCTTCTTTGCCATTTTTTAATTCCCAGTTTCTTATGCCTGCTAGCTTTTATCTTTCAGTTTTCAGATTCAGAACAGGTCCTATCACCTTCCCCAACAGTTCCCTTCTCCTTCTGCAATGCTCTCCCCTCAAACAAGCTTCATAGAGCTTCCTGAGCTTTCTCTTTCGCAACAACAGCCACCCTGATCTCTGGTTTAGTAAAATGACAAACTAGAAAACATTGGCAGTTTCTGGAAAATGGTATTCTCCATAACAGAGAATAACTACAGAGTAGCATAATTAATTAAAAGGTATGTAACAGCCGAAACCGGTGTGGCTCAGTGGATAGAGCGTCGGCCTGCGGACTGAGAGGTCCTGGGTTTGATTCCAGTCAAGGTCATATACCTTGGCTGAGGGCACATCTTCAGTAGGGGGTGTGCAAGAAGCAGCTGATCGATGATTCTCTCTCATCGATGTTTCTAACTCTCTATCCTTCTCTCTTCCTCTCTGTAAAAAAATCAATAAAATATATTAAAAAGAAAAAAAAAGGTAGGTAACAGATGAAATTTAAGATCAGAGACACAAAATATTATCATTGCAAAGAACATAATGATTAAAAATAGAAACATTTGTAAACAATACCAACCAGATATTAATCCTAAAAAACATCACCAGATTTTGAGAAATATTGAAGAGATTCAACAAGAAAAAAATGAATAAAATACTTACTAATCAGCCATTTAAAAGAAAATTCTAAAACACCATTTTGAATCCCTAATTCTTCAGTAAGAAAACAGAGCTTTTCTGCAGCTGTGTAAGAAAGAGTTTACTCAAACACGTTATCTGAAAACAAGTCAGTCCATTCGTGTCCAAAGGCAGCCAAATGGAACTCAGGACTTCACTGGAGCCTCGCACAGAAGTGGAATCTTCATGGAGCAGGTAGATTCACGTCTCCGGGGAGAAGGTTTATAAGCCCATGCTCTCTGCAAGGGGCAAGGCCATGGAAACACATGACACAACCACAAGTCACCTCCTATCTCAATCTTTCTCCCTCCGTCACAGCACTGGCGTAAATCTGATAATGACAATGGCTCCTGAGGAATCCAGTTGTGCTTTAGGGAGTTTGGATTCTAACCTTTCCACCAGTTTTCTTATCCTCATGATGACATATGCCCAGTCCATCTCAGATTACTGGTAGCAAACAATGCTAATTCCAGTGACTGGCTACCAGCAGGAACTGCTCTAGCTCCGCAGGTCATGCCTCATAAGACCCACGTCAGGACGCCTGCTGCCCCCTCAGACACTTCATTCCAAAGTTATATTCAGAAAATTTTTCCTGGATCAAAACCACAAATGTGTTTTAAGACATCAGTACTACCTCATATACTCCAAACAGGCCAAGAAATATGACCTTACAAAATACATAAATACGGAGGCATGGTCTAAACCTTCCCTCCTTATGCCTAAACCTTACATGAATCTTAAAAAATCACACAGTAAAATTTAACAGAATTACAGACATTAATTTATTGTACTACTGTTCCTTGCAAAAGCAACTCAAAGATTTTCTGCAACTTCTCAAGCACTAGAGAGGCTAGTAAGCAGGCTATATAAAGAGAGTGAATTGCCCTCCGTGAACAAAGTACTAAGTGAGATTTCTAGATTTATATTATAATAAAGCCAATTACAACTTTAATAATACTATTCATTAATATGTACTCAAAATAAAATCATATAACTATCTAAAAAGTAAAAATATCACTTGAAGTTTTATTCTCTGCCTAAGGGAAGTATGAGAACACCTAGCTATACTGACTGCCAAATGTCTATTTTTGGACTCTCCAAACCTAACCAGTGAGAAGTATCCCTCCTGCCCCTAGGTGCCCTCTTTCAAACCCGTAACCAGGAAACCTTGATGCCCTGGGAAGAAAAGCCACTTTCCGTAGGAACATCTGCATCCTATTTAGAGGGCTCCCAGAGCATCTCCCCACAGGCTACCAGAGCCTGGGTACCAGTGGTTCAACTGGAGCTCAAGTGACACTTGGACCAGATCACGCTCTGGTTGGGACTCTCCAAGGCATCGGAGGACATTCAGCAGCATCACTGACTTCCACTCACTCGATGCCAGTGTCACCTTCTAGTGTGACAACCAAAAGTCTCCAGACTTGGCCAAATGTCCCTGGAACGGGGGGTGGGTTGTTCCCCAGGGTAAGAACCACTGGGCTAACCCAATATAATATAGGTTACTAAAGACAGGTGAGGCTCTGCAGTTTAAACATTTACTATAAAATTTAAAGAAAGTGTTTGAAAACACTAATAAACCAATTCTAAAAAAGAAGGAATGAACAATTAAATTTACCTCCCAAGTACCTTTCGGTAAACAAAGATAGACTTAGTTTATGATAGAAATGCAACTATCATGAATCTAATCACCATTCTTTCATGGGCCTGAGGTTGTCTGGTACAGGAAATGTTCATCAGAGCACCTAACACTCGAGCTATTCCCATCAGGACCCCAGACTAGGGTGAGGGAGCTACTGGAATGCCCTGGCCTACCTGCTATCTTGCAAGAGAAACCACAGGCCAGGGCCCCCATGAGGACTACTCAGTCTCTGACGGAACAGAATCAGAACCTGCTACCCGGGAGTCCTGGGTCACACTAAGGTGTGCTTGGTGTCACTCCCAAAGCCAAATATTGCAACTACAGGTTTGGAAACGGCTCCATTTCCTTACATCGGTACATTTTTCTGGATACTTGGTTTCTGTTCTATGTGTGTAACCAAATTAAAATAAAAAAACAAACCTATAATCAGAAATAACCTGAGTGAGTGTGACAAAGGGGCGAGGGGACTGGCTGGTTTCTGCTGTGGGAGCGGGGCTGGCAGAGCCCACTGGGAGCCTGGTAAGTACACGTGTGCACTTACCATCAGGTTCCTGCAGGTCCTACACAGAGGCTACTGCCAGCTGCGTGCTCCACTTGCTCTAGACAAGAAAGATATAGGAATGAAACACAAGGAAAGTGAAATGGAAACAATGACAAAGAACATAATGAAGCACAGGACAAAACTGTATGCTTAAATATAAGGAAAAGAAATATACGCACAAAGATGAAGAAAACGAAATGAAACAGAAGGAAAGCAGCAGTTGTCTACTGCAAGGTTCTCACCAAAAAACAAAAATAAAAAGAACCTTTGTGTTCTTAGTCAGGGGTGGGATGTGGCATACTCACTCTCAGGCCTGTGCCGTGCCCATGGTGTCAAACTGACGTTCTTACCATGTAAGCACCACTCGCTATGGAAGGCCAGAAAGTCCCAATCCCTGCCTCTCACTGCAGACACCCAAGGACCAGAGATGGGAAGTCACCTGCCCCAGCCACACAACTAAATTAGCTCCCCAGTCAGAATTAAAACCCATGAATGATGACGCTAAAAGTGCTCCTTCTAGTACATGTATTCCTTAAGACCAAAAATGGCATAATAATACCTTATTGTTTAGAAAGCACTTTACAACCATTACTTCACTCAGTTTCAAGGGCAAATGGGAGTGGTATAAAGACTTCTACTGCAAAGTGGGATGCAGATGTTTTTCTATTTCAATTTTATCTTACGCCAGAAAAAAGTATCAGTCAACAGCACAGAACACCAATCTGAGCAAATATGATTAACTATTAAGTAATGTCAATAGAAGTGGATTTCCTGGTGAAATAGTTGCCCTGGAGGGAAACCCAACAGCTATGATGGGAGCTTTTAAGGACAAGTGAAGCGTTGTACCGCTGGCGCTTAGATGTGAGGTGCAAAACCAAAGCTGCCTCAAGTGCCACGTGATTAAGTCTGGACTATGTTGCACTCTCCAAATAAAGTGAATAAACACTAGAAAATTCTAGAGAATGATGTGTCTCTTAAAAAATTTTCAGGCATCAGAGAGAATGCAGAATCCTAGAAGGATGGCAGAAGGCACATTTAAAAAATTGTTACAACAGCAAAGGCTCCTGCATTCGGCGATTTAAAGGAATTACATGTAGAACCATATGTAACTCAACATGCGCTGCCTCCTCTTGGGGAACTACTCAACTACGAAGTATAAAATCAGAATTCAGTATTAGCAGGTCTAGCTGATCTTTGGGGAGCTCACCATCTTCCTCGGATGCACAGCTGACTGCCAAACCGGGAGGAAGCCATCAGTGAGAGCCATGCAAGATGGCAGAGGAAATGAATGGGCTGCCCTGAGCCGGGGCTGACACCAACTCTCCAAAGGGCGGGTGTACGTGAGCTTCCAGTTCCCACCTCTCCATCCAGCCCGTGATCCCTACACAGGACTCTCCACTCTCCACGGTTACCTCTGCTCTCATAATTACAAAACCGGAATTTCTTCACTTATTAGCCCCACGTTTCTCCTCCACCTCTGGCGTTTGATGGTCCTACTTTTTTGGGGGAGGCGGAGGGGAGTTAAGGTGGGAAGGGCGGATCTTTCATTCTTCAGAGTACTCTCCGCAGCCCTATGACACTCTCATCTGGGAACTCCTGCTTTCATAGCCATTCTTTCATAAAATCTACCTCTTCTTCCTGCTCAAAATGAGAGGGTCACTCATAGGAATTGGAAGATCAGAAGCATGTTTTCACACGAGACTGAAGAGAGGCTCCAATCCAGTAGTACTCTGCTACACTGAGGTCACAGACCGTAGAGAACAGAAGAGACACAAAGGACAGAATTAAGGGGCTACATTGAAAGGTGGGAGAGAGTCCTGGCCCACGTGGCTCAGTGGTCAGAGTGTCGGCCTACACCAGCCCTAGTCAGGGCAATGGCAGGAGGCAACCAATTGATGTGTCTCTCATATCAACGTTTCTCTCTCTTTCCCTACCTCCCTTCCACTCTCTCTCTTTTAAAAAGAAAAAAATCAATGGAAAAGGTATCCTTGGGTGAGGAGTAAGAAAAGAAGAATGAATTAACAGTGCCATCTGCATTTCAGGCATCTGCATTTGAGAAATTCATCCTAAATAAAGACATCATACAACTTTTTTAAGTTTTTGAAAGGCAAGGGTGTGATTTTTGTGAAAGTAGGCCAGTGTGGCACTGATATCAACACTGGGGATATCTGGTTCCCAGAGGTAAGTCAGAATTCTGAAAGCAAAGGAAAAGCTGAACAGGGGCAGTGGAAAGGATGAAGGTCATATTAAATGAATTTTATAGGATTAAAGGAAGAAAAAGAAAAAGCTCTCTAACAGATCAGGTAGCAAAGAAGGAGAATCAATGGATAGTAGCAGAGTTGTTAGCCTAACGAGTGGCCTAAATGATGTTATGTGTGAGCTGGTCAAGGGTAGTCAGAGCACAGCCTGGATGTGCTTTACATGTGGTGGTAGTTTAACATTCTCCAGCTGGAGTGATGAGTGGAGAGCAGCTGCACACATACATAAAACTAAACTTTCCACAAGGAAATAGTCCGTTTCAAATATTTCAATATCCTTAATGTATGCTTTAAAAAAAAAAAAAGGAAGTCATCAAAAGCCACTGATGGGATGATCAGGCAACCTGGTGCAGAACTATGAGGACTGGGCATCAGAAACTGTCACCATAAAGATCAAAGGTTACAAAGGGGATGTGTTTATCAGCTGATCAGAAGTGGCCCTTACAAATGGTCAAGGTGAGATCAGTGGGTAAACAAGCCACCTGGGTCCTTAGCCCATCAGTCCGTGTGTTTAACAGAGAGACATTTGAAGCAATAAGATGCTCTAACAGTTGGTTTTATGAACGTAATAACACTATTCATTTTCCATAGATTTCTTTTACACATAAAATAACTGAAATGTACGTGATGGTAAGAAATGTTAAGCTCCCTGGGCGTAATTTCAAACCTTTTTTTGTAAACTCGCCAAGAGCTGCCTGTAAGCTGGAGGCAAATTATAAAAACAAAACCTCTCCGTTTTAAGTTGGTTATGGTATTAAGTCAGGACTCTAGACTTGGCTTCCAACAGAAACAATGGAAAAGTTCTGGACATTTCGGAGCTGCGAGCACAGTGTGAATTCCTGGAATGCCTGCGTCCCGCCGCGGGTGCGCCGCCTTTGCAGCCATGGCTCCTCCAAATGTCAGGCCGCTGGGAAAACAGCAGAGAGCAGTCTGAAGGGACCTTTAATTTCTCTAAAAAAAGGCTTTTAGTAGCTCTGACTGAATAATTCCAAACACTAGAAATAAACTTTTGTAAATTCAAATTAGGAAGGAACTAAATTTCCTTATACTCTTCAGAACCTCAGAAAATGTTGTGGCATAAACAAAATTATTTTAGAGCCTAATTAAAAACCTCTGAAACTGAAAACTGTTATTCTGTTCTAAAATTATTTTCATTTCTAGCGTTCTTCTTGTGGATTTTCAGGAGCCTTTGTTTTACAGGAAAATAATATATACCTAAAGTCTGCAACCTCACATATAAAAAGGGAAATGGCGAATACAAAGTACAGAAGTTAATTCAAGCTCAGGTGTTAGTCCCCTGTGGCCAAACAAACCAGGGCTGGGAGCTTAGCTGGGACAAGTGTCTGGCAACCCCCTAAAACAGAGGGGACAGCCACACCCTAAAGAATTGTCTCAGCTAAAAGGAAAGGGCGTTTTTTCCCTCTCAGAGTCCATGATACATTTTATAATACTATATCCTGACGAATTAACTATAGAACTTAATTTTAAGATACTTCCAGGAAGTAAAAACTAGATATAAATCTGAGTCAAGAAGCAATTAACATCACTTCGAATTCAATCTTTACCTGTTTATAGAAATTTCAATAAGAACAATGGTCAAATCACTCAATAAAATCAGTCTACTGTTTATCCATCATCGTAAACTGAGCTGATCTGCTGTAAGATGTTAACAGATGTCTCTCATTGATGTGATTACTGTTTTCCTATCTGTTTGCATTTTTTAATTTTTCTAGGCAAACATTTGCTTATGTTATGCAGAAAGATAAATGAAAGATTTTTCTTAAAAATACTTCAAAAGCAGAATTAGCAAGGCAACTGAAAATGTTTTCTTTGGTTGAGATTAATATATATCATTTTATAAAATACAGTTTGAAAAGGCCTCAACCTTCTCCCTTTCCTGCACAGTAAAAGGTCTTGCTGAAGTGAGTCTCTGTTTTCCAACTCTCACAGTGTAAGTGTCCAGAAAAGGAGCATTATCCCCAGAAACACCAAATCCACAAGACACACAGTTATAAAGATTTAAGAGGGATTTAAAATATTCATAAGGGACATTAAATCGTCAAAACTGCTGAAGCATTCAAACTGCCACTGATGGTTTTTGGTGTACATCCTCCAACTCTTTCTCCCTATGCATCACGTTACTTCAAACAGAAACTAACTGGCCTTCCTGTGACAGCCACATGCCTCTTCTTTCCTGGTTTCACCGTGTGTTTGGTTATTACAGCTAGCATTATTTAAATAGAAATCTAATTTAAACAATCATACTGATGCCTCCCAGATCAATGTTTTGGCAGTGGACTGTGAGCACAATACCAACTTTTATTTTGCTTCTCCTAAAGTGCAAAAATTAGACAATGGCACTGGAATAATCCCCATTGGTAGTGGTTTAAGAAATTCATTTAGAGCCCTGGCCAGTGTGGCTAAATGGTAAGAACGTCGGCCCATGTACCAAAGGATACTGGGTTCAATTCCCAGTCAAGGACACATATCTGGGTTGCAAGTTCAATCTCCCGGCCAGGTCTGGGCTCCTGCCCAAGGCAACCAATCAATGTGTCTCTTTCACATCAATGTTTCTTTCTCATTTCCCTCCCCTCTCTTCCTTCTACTCTTTCTCAAAATCAAATGGAAAAAATATCCTTGGGTGAGGATTAACAAAAAAATAAAATAAAAAATAAATTTGTTTATAAAAATAAGAGAATTTAGAGATACAAAACTCCCTAACCTAAGCAGGTCAAACTCCTGGCCGCATACCTTGTTTACTAGTATTTGGCCTGAGTTAGCCTTTGAGTTTGACATGCTTGCCCTATCCCTTGGATCTACATGAAACGACACACTTTCATTCCAGGATAAATTTTAAGACTCTTCATGACTGCTAAGTGACCTCACTGTCTTCTGTCCAAGCCCTCAGATGTCCTCCAGGGCCTTTCTGGCCTGCAGATGTGCTTCTAGCCAACCTCATGGGCCGAGGCATCACTCACTGCTCCAGCAGAGCTGGGCCTGATCTAGACTGATGCATGCACACTGGCTGGCATAAATTCACCCATTCCGACAAACTCCAAACTGCCAAAGGCATCTTTCAGACCCAAGAAACAGAGAAAGAATGAAAATGTACTCTCATACAATAATTATTTTTAAATCATAAATTACATTTAAATTCAATTCCAGATCTTTTCTTATTGATATCCATCTAAAATCAAGCCTACTAGCCTATTTAACAACACATCTATTCTCTGATGTACTAGCTTGTATCAAACTACAGAATCACTCAAATTTAGCCCAAGCTTGCCCTGGCTGGTTTTCCTCAGGGTTAGAGCGTTGGTCCAGGGACGGACTCCAGGGTCTCAAGTTTGATTCCCGGTCAAGGACATGTGCCTGAGTTGCAAGTTCCATCCTGGCCCCAATCAAGGAGTGTGGGGAGGCAACCATTCCATATGTCTCTCTCACATGGCTATTTCTTTCCCTCCCTCCTTCCCTCTCTCGCTCTCTCTCTAAAAAGCAATGGAAAATAATATCCTTGGGTAAGGATTCAAAAATATTTTTTAGCTCAAGCTCACTATTTTTTTTTTTTTAGATTAAAAATTTTTCCTCTACATCAAGTATGTCAAACATGTGGCCACCAGCAGCAAATGAGACACACTTGCTCTATGTGCTTTGTAAAGTTTCTGGAAGAATGGTGAAGTACAATTATTTTGATAATTTTTCTTAAATAAGTGCTTATTATCTACAAGGCCCTTTATTTAGAGCTAAGGGAATTTATGTATTTTACTACAAAGAAGTCTGCACTGGTGGAATTTAAAATTGAAGTTTTATATCTTAACTTTGTACAAAACAATCAAGCCCCTTTGAGGAAAGGCCCTACTAATGTCAACGAGAAGCAAATTCTGAGTAGAAAAAGTATTCCAGAGGATCTATATTTCATTTAAACACATTCTTTTAAGGGAAGGTAGGAGGGAGGAAGCAGAAAGCAGGCCAGGGGTAGGAGGAGGGAGGGAGGGAGAGGCAGAGTGATGGCTGGAAGAGAGATGGTGATGTAAACAGCCATGCAGCCAGACAGCAGGACGTTCGGTCTGTGAGGGAGCTACCTGCGGCCCTCCTCAGCAGCACAGCTTGGACCTCCAACACTTCCCACAGCCTCTGGCACGGAGGTCACAGCCTTTTAGAAACACTAAGTCTCGCTCTGCAAGGCTCCAAGGGCTATCCTCCTCCACTGTCCTGTGTGGATGGTTCTCCTGTTCAATCGGGGGATAAAAGGAGGCCCCAGGGAGGAAGGCCTCACAAAGGACTAGGACGGAAATATAATACAGCTGACTCCTAGGCCAGTGCCCATGATGGGAGGGTCTCATCTCAATCCAGTCACTCATTTCACCTGCTCCCACACGGTCCCTGTGTGACCTGTGTGCCCTGCAAAGAGCTGACTCCAATGAAAGTGAGACAATCCTGGACTTCCTGGACTGGCTCCTCTCCCGCGCCACTGCTGGGTGCCACTTGCACTAACATAGGTCCTCAAAAGACGGAAGCCCACAAAGCTGAAATCCACAGAGCTGAGACTGCACTGTGCAGTGGTGGGCCATGCCTGGGTTAAGGAGACGTAATCCTGCCCATGGCAGATGGGACCTATGACACACACTGATGTGATAACTACCTGCTTCTGCCGAGGAGAGGAGAAAAATGAGATGATGTGCATGGGAATTTTTTAGCCACAGCAGATTCTGCTAAATAAATTACAGAAACCCCATGCCTACAAGCCTGAGTTGTCAGCATATGTTCCTTCTTATGAAGACAATGGCATTCTGCCTCCACTAACAACTCTAAATTCATCCATTTTTTTTTTGTTGTTGTTGTTCATTTGTTCTACATCAGTCACAAGATCCCACCCAGATATCAATAAGGAAATGTACAAGCCAATGAGGGCAGTCTAACTGAGAGGTGAGAATGCTGGCAAACACCATGCCTCCATCAATATATACTAATGCTCTGACAGCAAGAGATGTAAATATATTCTTTAAGTATGTGATCCACTGTCTCTGCTTAATTTTTAAAATTAAATACACGAGTTCATACTTTAATGGTTCCTAACCTTTAAAGGAAGAAACCTTAGGCCCCTTTGAAAACCAGATAACACCTAAGGCTCCAGTCCCCGGATAGTCACACACAGACATGAGCACAAAGTGTGAGGATTCAGGGACCTTCTATGCTATCACAAGTCAAGCTGTGAGTTCACATGAAAGGGAGTGTGATATCCCTGGGAGTAAAAAAAAAAAAAAAAAACACAAAAAATCCTGACAGGTCAGATTGCTCAATAGAATGTTGCACAGGTAGTCAGGGCATTTGTTTCCTTAAAACTGACATTGTCAACTTAATTAGTAACTTCTCCTAAGCAATTGGCTCTTTCACACTTTTTTCCTGATTTCACATCCAAAGAACGTGAGCCGACAGATTTCCTCATCTATCACAGAGCACTGAAAACGATGCCACACAGTGATTTTTGGTACTGTCTGATAACTTAACATCTAAAAAAAATGTATCCAAAGTTTATCTAAAATGTCACATGCCTAAAACTTGGTAATAACAGTCAAACAGAGCCACTTCAAATGGTCTGGACCACACCACGGTAAAACCGAAGGGCAGGAAGAAAACAGAAAACCTTCATTTGGGCAGCAAGCAAACAGTGAAACTTGAGCTCCCTATCGCCAACCTGTAACCACCAGTGTCCTCGTGTGGGTAACTGGTGAAACAGGGCCGCTTTTAAGAAAGAAGCAGTCTCGGCATCCGAGTTCTCTAGTACCTTTACGTGTATCTAGTTGCAGCACAAAGGCAGCTATGTACTCTTACCTAATTTGCAGTTTACTTCATTCATTCATTTGCCATCTATTCCAGGTCCCCAAAGCAAACTACATGCTTAAAGGACATGTTGAAACTTTATTTTTTTT